TCAGTATAGTTTAGGATTATGCTTTTGTGCAGCGAAATAAGCTTGATACTGACTCTTAATGAGAAGGATTTTTGAAAACAAAGTAGTTTTCCTCTCTAACTGCCATATCAAATGACATTTTGCATCTTTTTTTATTTGTATAGAGAAATAGTGTCCTTTTGTATGGAAGCATTAAATTTGAAAGTATGCTTGTGTTGCAAACAGCCATCAGTGATTCTCTTCCTTTGGTGTAACATCACTGTCCTCCATGACCTAGTGGTATCATTCAAGGAACTAAGTAATTTGTGTTGAGAGTCAGACTTTTAAATTCTGACCCTAAATGTGAGGATCCATATGTTAGGAGCAATACTGATCTGGTCTCCGTGACCCCACTAAATGGAATTCATCTGATATTTTCTTTTCTTGCAAGGATGAGCAGAATTACTTTTTGGACATCTTTGTGGAGGAAATAAAACTGCCAGTTTGCTGGCCAGGGGTAGATCTCTTAAAATGTTGTCAAATTCTCAGTTCAAACTAGAATCTTCATTGTTTACTGTAAATTTGTTGCTACTTTCATTTCTTCTTTGTGGCAGAGGTCCGAGGGAAAAATCTTCAGCCGATCCAATGATCTTCAATAGAATTATGACCGTACTCATGCACTTCTCTCAGCTAATGTGGCTCTGATCTGTAGTAAAAATTGAAAACAAAACAAAAACAAAAACAAAAACAAAAACAAACAAACAAAAAAAAACCAAGAAAGAAGCAAAGCAACAGCAACAAAAGCAACAACATAAAACGTCTGGGACTGTAGCTGCCAACTTTATCTCCTCCCTCTCCAAATTGTTTTCATTTTCAGAAAATAGATTTGAGAGCCAGTAGTGTTGTGAGATCGATGTTTCTGCTTTGTTTTGCTGCTACAAGCTGCATGAGTGCCTACAGACAGACAAGGCCAAGGTCTCCATCTACCCACACTGTTGCCACTTCTGTGAAAAGATCAGGTTACCCCCAGCAAAAGCTGTTTTTGCTGTGGCAATTCTACCCAGAGGGCCGCTGTGTGGATTAGAAGCATTTAGCAGCACTCAGTGATACGTAGTGGTTGGTTCCGTTTCTTCACTTTCCAAGTTTTTTAGTTTTTTTCTCCAAGTATGTCTGTATTTATATTCAGCAAAATTAAAAAGGGATGAAATAGGTGGTGAATATATTAATTTTGTAATTATGTGAGCAAAGATGTAGCATGTAATGGACAGTGAATGAAAATGATAAAGAGCTTATGAAAAGAAAAGAAATCTCATGTTAGGTTTTTTATTAAGTTCCTCATTTTTGCTTTCTTCTTTGCACTTGTTTAAGTTTGCACGTGTACATCAAAATACATTCACATTAGTTGTTCATTTTTACCAGCAGAGTAAAATATAGAAGGCAGGATTCTTATCCAGGAAATAGTCTGTTTGAAAAAGACTGCAAAGTAAAATTAAAAGGACTGTAAGAACTTTAGTGGTATCTGAGTGGTCTCAGTTTGCACATTGTTAAAAATCACGCAGTGTCGGTTGGTGCCCTTTTCATCTTGTTTATTTTAATGAAGAAGACCAGTTAGTTTGAAAGGTAGGCTTCAATATGGGAATTGACTTCTGATCACCATATCACTTAACAATTCCTTATATATCAGGAACACTTGAAAGTACATGCACATGTTTGTAGAGATTTTTTTTTTCTCCTGAGGGGTCCAATTATTTATGCTAGAATTATTCCTATTGTGAGTTATTTTTATAATTGAATCAAAACTGCATAGGCTGATACAGCCCCAAGTTACCTCTGTGATCTAAAAAACCCTCAAAAATGACCAAATAGAATAACTTTGTCACTTGTTTGTCATACCAGTTTTGACAATGGGCCACTCAATAGATGTCTAAAATGATCTTTAGCCACATATTATGAAGCCAGAACTGTAATCCAATAACAATTTTCTGGCTAAGTGCTTCTCAGTTGCCACTGGGGACCAACTGCATCACTGTTGCTGCTCTTAAAATGAGCTTAAGCTAAAAGGACACAAATTTCATATTTCTTTTCTTATTTTCTTGAGAGTGATCTAAGGAAATAATATTTTAAATAATTGCATTCTGGTTCCTGAGGGACATCAACATAATTGCACTGAGGATACCTTTATTTTTTTATTCATTTATTTATTAAAAAAGAAGTACATTCCATCTGTAAACGGAATGATTGGTCCAGTGGCACAAAACAATAATGCAATGAAGCCTCTAGTTCATTAAATTGGAATATGGGGATTGAATTACTAATTTATGTTGGTTTTAATTTTGTGGTATAAATTATAGGATTCTAAGATGTAAGGGAAAGATGTTCCCCATGACATGGACTGCCTACAGTTCAGCCAGAAAGATTTATATAAGACTCAGGAGAGATGAGGGAAGGAGAGGTAATGAAGACTGAGACTGACATGGTTCATCTGGAGTAGATTGGCAGGCACATCACCGAAGGAACAACCCAAACAGTAAATAAATAAATGATATTTATTTAAACTGAGAATACTCTGGAGGGATTACTTGTAAATATGGACAGTTTGAAATACTGGTTTCTGAAACTCTGCAAGGGAAGTTAGGTAACAATGAAATGAAGAGGGAGATACTTCATTAACCTTAAGTAATTTCTGATTCATTCCTATTTTATCTTTACTGCCATGCACCCTAGTGTTTTAGTCAGTGTAATCTGGTATTCAAAACTTTTTTGTGAATTTCAGTCTGCTATTAAGTTCATCATTAAGTTACCATTTTAGCTTGATTTCTGTGTTTAAAAGTCTCTGGAGCTGCTTGTAGAAAGAAGTATAAAACCCATACAAGAGAGGACCCCATATGGTCCTTACAGAGTTATTATTTTGACTGAACTCCTATTATCAGGATCTAGTTCTGTGATTTTGGAGGTGAAATCTTAACTGGTTCTTATTTTCACCTTTGAGACCACAGGCAAGTCCCTTTCTGAGAACAGCTTGTACCTCAGTGTCACATATTTTTCAAAAACTCTTTCGTTACTTTGTTTCCTTCTTGCCTAACAGCAAGTGTTTCAAGAAGGTTGTCCTCAGATTCTCTGGTAAATTTTTAGTTAATCTTTCCCTTTCTTGCATTAATTATCAATTTCCTGTAAACCACCTATACGACAGTTAGCCACGACTGTTCAGGAATTGGCCATTGTTTTAATAAGTCCGAAACCACTGCTTTGGCCTTAACATTCCCACCCACTCCTTCACTCTGACCTTCTCCCCATCTTCTCTGTGCTTTCATTTAGAAACCAATCTAATAAGCATAATAGAGAACTTTAGTTTCATCTTTATTCTGGGCCACATCTCCTCTTTACAGGATTTTTAAGAAGCCACCTTTGTGAGTAAGTAGCTCAGTTTGAGACACCCTTGCTTCGCAGTCTTTCTCAGATGAAAGATGCAGTTATGTTAAGGGCATTTCTTACTGGAAACGTCTTTCTTTGTAAAAAAAAAAAAAAATCAATCAGTTGTAGGTAACTGTTAGATCACAGCTTGGTGATTGAGCACCTGGTGAAGGGGTGTGGCTGGCCCAGGGAGCACAGACAAATTGTTTGCACCTGTGTTCCCCATGTGGCCAGAAGGGATGGACCCAGGGTTGCGGCACCCTGGGCACATATAAGGGCCAGCCACTGAAGGGTGAGTATCTTTTGCACCGGCTGTTTCCTGTGAAGGAGCTATCTAGAGAGCCTTCGCCAGTTGAGCGAGTGCTAGTGCTCTTTCTGTATATGACTATTGGCCTACCTGTGAGTACTTTGCTTGCTATTGCTTAGAACCTGTCAGAAGTGATTTTGCTTCTTTGTAAGCAGGACGTTGGTTATTTTACTTATTTACTGATATGCTTTGAACCAGAATTAATTCTAGTTCACCATATGAAAGGTCAAGGTTCTTCCACCTTAAAATTCCTAGTCCCCTTAGGGGAAGGGGGGTTTTGCTCTCTTTAGATCATTAGAAGTAGAAACTATGAGCTGTGAGGCAGGTCAGCGAGATGTGAGGTGCTCTTGAGTGCTAGTTCTCTGCTCAAAGCAGGTTGAGATTAAATCAGGTAACTCGGGACTGGTGCTATTGTTTTGAATATCTACAGAGTTAGGAACTTGCACAATTTCTCTGGGATGTGTATTAGCATTTTGTTATCTGTGTGTTTCTTTTTTTATTAAGGATATTTGATTTTGATATCCCTTGTTGCAACTTGCTGGCCATCATCTCTCAAGCATTCATTTATGCACCTCTGAGAAGAATTGCTCTTACAGAGCTTCAGAACTTTCAAGAAATGCTGTTCTGTCTTTAGTAGTTCCTTGATATTTTTTTAATAAATATTTTAGCATTTTAATTAACTTCATCTGATGTTGATGTAACAGTGGTAAACAGACTCCTGTACTTATGTGTAAGAATCAGTTGGCTTTCTTATTTCAGCATGTGCAGTGTGGGTATGTTTGGGCTCTGTAAAATGTATACTTTGGATCTGATAATTACATTTTCAGAAGATGTTTTATGGAGGATAGTTGTTTTCCTTGGTAGATCATACCTTCTGCTGCAGAAACTCGTGGTACCTCATGTACATCATCTCATCAAAGCTGCATGTGCTTTCCTTGAGACAATGGCTGAACATCATAAACCTTAATTTTCATGGTTTGCATGGGCTCAGAGCAGCACAGGGGTTCTGAGCTCTAGTTTATGCTGATTGTCCATAATGTGTCTGAAGCTTATCTTTCTATACCTCATTGGCTTGGAGTATATGTATTTGTATAATATGAGAACTATAAATGGAAGGAATGTGCCTATTATCGAACAAGAAATGGATTTTTTTTATGGTGATTAGACATTCGTTTTTCATTATTAATTTGGCCTTGTTGTCCCTTCCCCCTGCCAGGAGGATTGTACTAGAAAGTTTTTGACTGTATATGTGATTGAAAAAGAAAAAGCTTTATTACGAAGTCTTTTTTGTTAAGTCTGTTTTGTTTCTTCTGTTTTGTTTCAGTGTTCTCATAGAAGACAATTGAGATGTGAAGTACAGCATTGGTAAGTCACGTGACTGATTACTTGTGAAAAAACTGGAATAAATATGAATTTATTGATGTGAAATCAATAAATGGCGATCAAGAAAACAAAATTTAGGAATGCTCTAATAAAATGGCCTCAAGTTTGACCAGGGAGGATAGAGATTGTATATTGGGAGTAATTTCTTCTCAGAAAAGATGGTTAGACAGTGAACTGGGCAGTTGAAGGTAATGGTGGAGAAAGTATCCCTGGAGGTGATGAAGAACCATGTGAGTTGAGGCTCTTTAAGATATGGTTTAATGATGCACTCAGTAGTATAATATGGTGGTTGGGCTTGATGATCTTAAGTCTCTTTTTCAGCTTGAGTATTTCTGTGCTTTTAAAATGGCAGATACAGCTGTGCAGTGTTTTCTCAAACACTGTAAGTTATTCTAATTCTGATGACTAGTTCCAAAGCAGAAAACTGTATTAGGTTACATGGAAAAACAACTTATTTCTCTATCGCAAATCTTTCTATCAATACACAAGGAATTGAGGTCTATAAGTAACAGCTTCGTGTGCCAGATAAATTTCAACCTGTTTCCTTGGTTCTTGGCTGTGAATTCTCTTCTGTGGTTGCCTACTTTCCTATCTTCTCCAGTCAGTTGTCTCCTGCTGTGGACAAATGGAAAAAGTATTCTCTTCTATTTTCAGTATAAACAAGGGAATGGATTAGTTCTTGTTTGAAAGAGAATATTCATCTAATTTGGGATTAATAAGATAAGTTGCTTGAGAAGATGTAGCTTGCATTTTTTTATATGATATTTTATGAAGTGATTTTAACTACGTATTACAGAGGAATGCAGAAGAGTACAGAAGAAGTAAGTAGCTGTTCATATTAGCAGTTTATCAACAATCTTTTGATTCACACTAGTATGGCTTGAGATTTTCCTCTAACTCTCACTTATTCTTGCCAGAAGTATATTAATAGGTTAAAAATACCTTACTGTCAGAATGAACTGTCAGAAATTAATGCTGGACCCTATGCTAAAAGGAACTTTCACTAACATCAGTCAGACACAGTCCACCTGGGAGGACACTATTACTAGCTGCTTATAATTATGTATGTTAATCCTCTCATGAATGTCACATAGCAAACTGCAGCTTCCGTTATCTTTTGCCTTCCTCTCGTCGTTCTTCTTGTCCAACCAATTTTTGACTCCACTGAAGTTTCTCCTTTGAAGTGGGTTTATTTTTTTCAGCTCTAGCCCAGGCTTTTCTGCATATGAATCTCCCAGCTGCATTCCATAGGTGTATGTTCCAGATGCATGTAAGGACCAAACAATTACTGTGTATGGGAATACATCTGGAAAAAGGAAATACCTCCTTGTTATATGGATGTTCACTGTGGGTGAGGAACTACTGTAAGGAGTTGTAGCAAGAAGCAAAGTAAACTATTTTAAGCTGTTTTCTTTTACTTCTGCCCTGAAAAACTAGGAGTTTTAAGCATACATTCAAGACATTAGCAGCTGCTTGTCTGAAGTACTGTGCTCAGTATTTTATTATAGTATTGTGCACAAGCTGTGAAGTGGGCCAGCTCTGATTCAGGATTTTGCATCCATGTACGTGGATTCTCTGCCTTCTGACATGCTTTGCTTGATATCATTTTTCTTTTATGGTGATCTGTTTTTCAGTTAGTTCAGGACTAAATTCAGTTCTGGTGGATAAGGTTCAGGATGAGAGATTGTTCCTCTTTCCCATAGGAGAGATCTGCTCTGCTCACTTGGTTTTCATAAAGTCTGGATTTAGAAGGGACATGGGGATGCTTAATCTGGGCAGATGGAGGAGTTACAGTTCTAGTTCTTTCTTCATTCCTGTATAAATCCATTCCAGTATAAAGTTGTTAACCAAAAAGCAGCCATTACATTGCTAATATTTAAATGCATTGGACAAATGACTGTAAAGCAGCCCATAACTGTTTTCTAGTTCTGCCTCACTTGCATATTAAAATCATCTTTGATAGTCTCAATGTCATAGTTGTGAAAAGTAGCCTGATTCTGTTGTCTCTATTAAATGCTTCTGATTTAAGTGGCAGTAGGCTTTTTGCTACTCATCAGGAAGTTTACTAATTCAGAAAACTCCAGTCATCAAAGGCTTTTTCTTTGGTTGTAACACAATCATTGTGACAGTTCCAGGTAAGAGTATTTGGTGGAAATAGCTCAAGGGTTCATTCTTTCCAGAATATTTACTTTACCTGACATATCTTTCCTGGGTGTCACAGTAATTAGTCATCTGTATATTATTTGAGGGAAGCTGAGGTATATTATTCTTTCTGTATAAGAAACAGCTAGGGGGTGTGTAATGAAAACAAATAATGAAAGACCTTTCGTGTTGAAGACAACTTGCTAGTAAAGACAGTGCTTGCTCAAAATAGAACTGTGTATACATGTATACTTTATGTAGGTCAGAGAATATTGGTTTCCTTCAAGATTACCTGAAAATTTTTACTTAAACTAGTGTAAATGATCTCTAGCACATATACATATGAATCTTAATAGACTAATTATTTGGGCTGAAATTTTTCTTGAATTTTATATCTCCTGTGTTACTGGAAATGCCTGAAAATCTACTGTCAAAACACGATCTGTCCTTGAAGTACTAGTTCTTCTTGAGAAAGATTATATTGTTTGCTTTTTTTTCTGTGAGCTTAGATGACAGAGATCTGTCCAGTGACTCTAAGTGTTACTTAGTGAGCCATGGAGTCGTCAGTGTGATTCTGGCATTTGTGGAGAGCTGGATAAATCTGAATTCTTAGGAACTTGATAATCTACAAATATAAAAGTGAAATTTAAAATCAGGGTGAAATCCACCCTGGATAAAGCACTCAATAAGCAGTTCAAATATCTCAACAATTTTTCCTTTTCAGTGTGTGCCTTCAGGCTCTTTTAATTGCATGCTTTTCAAAACTTGCTCCAGAGACAGCATTATTAATTTCTTCCTAGATTTTAATACAGTACTCAACACTACAGTCCTTAACAAACCATTAATGAAGTTATTTTCATAACACCCTGGTGAAATGAGGAGGAATTATTGTCCTCATTTGACAGATGGAGATCGGGACATAGCAATTCAAGGTTGAAAGTACCTGCTAATTTGGGAACCCAATCTGAGACATCCTGCTTCAGCCTCTTTCAGAACGCTTAACATCAGGCAGTGTGCTGAATGCACAACTTCCTTTAACTTCAGCTGCCTTTGGTGGGTAATCAGCACTTGGAGCAAGCCAGAGCTCAGGTTTTAAGTCAGGCACTGAAGCACACGAGGAGCACAACTATGTGTGAAAATACTGGGTTTTAAGACTCTTATCCTTTATCTGATAGTCTGTCCTGTGATAGCAGTATAGGCTTCAAACCCAAGGCAACTTTTAAACTACTTTAAATAGGAAACTTTTTTTTTCTTCCCTTTTCTCCCTGCATTCCTCAGTTACTACATAGGTCTGAACTTGGCAGTGTGCAGAGTGCTTCTCTTCATCAAGTAGTACCCTCCTGACCTGCATGGGTACATCCCAAAGGCATGTCCATGCCATGTGCTGAATCAACTATGGCCTTGTGGAAAACTCAGTTTGTGACTGTGTAACTAAGTCCATTTGGTGCTGTGTTCCCCAAACGCTTGTTCTGACTTTGATCACAAGCAACTGAAGCCTGAGGTGTATCAAATGGGGCTAACTGCAGAGTACTAATGAGATGATAAGCATATAATAAAATGGTTCTGCATATGTTTCTGTAGGCAGATATAATTTGAGCTGTAAAGATTTAGTGCTTACTTTACTATTTCCTCTCATTCCCTGTCACTTATCCCTTATTTTATACTTACATCCAAAATACTGTAAGGTGGGGACTACTGTTTTCTTTTTTGTATAAAACTTTGTGCAGTGTTGCCTTGATCAAAGAACCTCATCTTCACCGACAGAATGAATAATGTGAACCAAATAGTTCTTCTATATTCTAATAAAAAGTCTCTCAACTATTTAATTAAAATGCTTGTTATAGAGACTGACCTCAGAGCTAGTGATCACTGACAGTTTGCTATGTGAATTCCCCACCTAGAATGTTCAGGGAGAACTGCAATTTGTTCACTAACTTTTGTTTCTCTTAAGTGAATTTAACGTGTTTTATACTTTTCAATTTACTGAAGTGCTAGTAGTTTATTAAAACAGAACATTAACTTGACCTGTATACCTATGTCACAGGACTGTTGTGAAGATTATTAATTAGATAATGTTTGTAAAGCACTTTTTATAAGTGAGAAGTGCTATAAAGTCTAAGTATTATTATTGCAGTGTGATAGAGATCACAAAACACAAGTGAATTAGCTGTAGGTTTAATCCTTATAAGGCAAAGCATACCAGGGGCAAAATAACATTGCAGTTATTTTTCTTACATCCAGCACTTCATTAACTACCACATACGGTTATATAACTCTGTGAGAGTCTAACTTAGTAAAGTTTATAATCATAGCAGGAAAAGTTCTCACGGGTTTTGTAGCAAGACTTGTACGTACAGCCCTTAAGGTCACACAGAGTTCCTCCAGCTATGCAGTGCTGGTGACTCCAGCTGCATGCAGGGACATCATTGTGTGCTTTGGCTCTCTCAAAGTTAAGCCCTCTTTGCAGGAGTGATTCTATGTTAAATAATAAATGTAGGTTTGCAAATTGGCCTTATGCCATTGAATGATTATGGTTATCTATATCTTAAAATTCTTCTGCAGTTTGTGTTTCTTTCTTTGCTTTTACTGAACATGTGAAAGATGCACCTGAGTAAATAAACTTGATTTGAGCTAGAAAACTACAAATGGCCTACAGGCAAGCTCAGGTGTGAGCAGGGTTGCTGAGGTTGCTGCATGAGGCTTGCTCGGGGGTGGCTAAGATGGCCTCCTGTGGAAAAGCTGGGAGGGGACAGGTGGTTTGATTGCAAGCACAAGCCCCATGTCTCTGTGCATGGATTCTGGTGATTTGGGGATGTGAGTGTGAGGGGTGCCAGAATGAA